TCTTTAAATGTCTTTGGTTGTAAGCCTTTTGTTAACAGATATGCAATCATGAGATTAGTTCTAATATTCTTAAGTAACACTCTTTGTTTTCGAATTTCTTCCTTGACAGTAAAGTATTTTAATTCCATATGTTTGACATATTTGGAGTACTTATCATTTTTAGAGAAGAATATTGTTGCAACATTATCAGAATAAATTTTCAGCAGCTTGATAATGGTGTCGACAACCCCAAGTCCTGAAATAAAGTTTCGCAGCCATAATGTATGAATTGTGGCTTCATAACGTGCCATAAACTTTTTTTCAGGTTTTCTTCCAAGGATACATTGATATCTTCCTAGTATTTTTTACCACAAAGCTAATATACGGTCTTGTGCAAGTTTTAACATGCATCAAACTTTCAACAATAGAAGACTAAGGAATTGAGATCATTTCTTTCGGTCTACATCATTCTTTGGGCATAACATGAGATTAAATTTGTTCATTTTTTTAATTTTAAAATAGGAACTATTTTTGCTGAACAATTGTTCACATTAAATCTCTCTAGAACTTTTTTGATATAGCCATTTTAAGACAGTCCCAATAATTTTTGTGATCTATCATGGAATATTTCTTCCCTACTATCATGGAATATATTTATCCCTATCATATAAGATGTCTCACTCATATCTTTCATTTCAAAGTTCATAGAGAAAAAATCATCTGTCTCACGCAATTATGTCTATCATTAGCAACAAGTAAAATGTCATCAACCTATAGGACTAAAAATGTAAACTTACTCCCATTGATATTTTTGTATATACACCGATCAACGATAATTTTCTTAAATTCAAAGATGTTATGGTATCATTAAATTTTATAGACCATTTTCATGAGGCTTGCTTGAGTCCATATGTTGACTTCTTTAGTTTACACACTATTTGATATTTTTTTTTAATTTGAAAATCCTTTGGTTGGTCCGTATAAACATCCTCATTCGAGGTCTCCATTAAGAAAGACAGTTTTCACATCTATTTGATGTAACTCTAAATCATAATTAGCTACCAAAGTCAAAACAATTCTTAATGAATATTTCTTTGAGACCTGTGAAAAGGTCTCTTTATAATCAATGCCTCCTTTTTTAGTGTATCCCTTGGCAACAAGTCTGGCTTTGTATCATTCAATATTACCATTAAAATCGTGTTTGGTCTTGAAAACCCATCTACACCCGATCCTTTTAGAACTTTCTGGTAATTGAACAAGATCTCAGGCTTTATTGTATTCCATGAATTTTAACTCTTCATTCATGGCATTAGTCCAGACTCATTGCTTTTTATGGCATGTGAAAATGAAATCGGATCTTTATTAATTTCAATGTCAAAATCTGACTCTTGCAAATAAATCACATAATCATCTGAAATGACCGATTTTCTTTCTCTTTGAGATTTTCTTAATGACACTGTTTGTGGTTTCTTTGAATCAGATGTTTGTGAGTTAGTTCCTTCTTGAAGTGTTTCACCCAAAAACTGTTCAACATTGTTAAAGTGTTCTTCAACAGGAGGAACAACATTTGTTGTTGGTGTGAAAATAGGTACATTTATGAATAATGAAATATTTACCCTTACCTTATTAATTTTCATACTTTGTCATTCGACACTCTCACTAACTTCACCATTCTCAATAAATTTTGCATTACCGGTTTCAAAAATTCTCGAACTATGATTTGGACCGTTAAATCTATACCCTTTAGATTTTTCTGTATAACCAATAAAGTATCCACTTAGCGTCGAGAATCTAATTTCTTTTCATGTGGATTATAAACTCTAGCTTTCGCTTGACAACCCCAAACATGCAGGTGTCTTAAACTTGGCTTCCTTCCCGTCCACAAGTCAAAAGGGGTTTTTGGAACTGCCTTATTAGGATTCCTGTTTAATAAATATACAACGATTTTAAGCGCATACATCCACAATGATTTAGATAATGACGAATTACTTTTCCTGTTTAATAAATATACAACGATTTTAAGAGCATACATCCACAATTATTTGGATAATGACGAATTACTTATCATACTCCTAACCATATCCATAAATGTTCGATTATGGCTTTCTGCAACACCATTTTGTTGAGGTGTTTCTGGCATAATATATTGTGCACATATGTCATGTTCTTCAAGGAATTTCACAAATGGACCTGGACATTGTCCTAATTCATTACATTTTTCATAATTTTCAACACCTCTATCTGACCTAATGATTTTCATTTTTTTTAATCTAATTGTCTTTCAACCTCATTAACGTACAATTAGAGAGTGTCCGCTGCTTGAGATTTTTCTTTCAATAAATAGATAAATTTATAACGTGAAAAATCATCGATAAAGGTGATAAAACATTTTTCTCCACTTAAAGATGGAACATCAAAGGGTCCGCAAATATCAGTGTGTATAATTTCAATAAGCTGAGTGCTCCTTGTGTCACCTTTCTTGGTATGTTTTGTTTGCTTTCCTTTAATGCAATCAAAACATATATCAAGATCAGCAAAATTCAAATTCGAAATTTTTTTTTTACTAATCTTTTTAATCGTTCTTTGGATACATGACCCAAACGTTTATGCCACAAATAAGCAGAACTTTCATTTAGTGAATTACGTTTAATTCCAATATTTTGATGAACAGTAAGTAGGGATTCAAAAAAATTATTATCGAGTTTCAATCTATGTAAACCATTAATAAGAACACCAAAACCATAAAAAATAGTATTTTTATATATATTGAAACATCCATGTCCAAACGTTAAATCAAATCCAGAAACATCAAGTCTTAAAAAGGAAATCAAATTTCTAGAAATTGAAGTAACATAAAGAATTCGTAATAGATCAAGGTGATGTCCAGTCTCGAAGATCAATTGATATGTCCTTATGCCTTCAATTTGAGCCTTCATGCGATTTCCCATAAACATGAATTATTTGGATTTGTGATTTGGATCGTAATAAATCTCTGCAACACAGTGGATACATGAGTAGTTGCACCAGAATCAAGCCACCAAGCATTATTAGGAACTTCTACTAAATTTAATTCGAAACATATAAAAGCACTAAATGTGCCTTTCTTTTCAAATCAAGATTTATGTTTCAGGCAATCTTTCTGATGGCGTCCTTCCTTTTTACAGGAATAACACACATCAGCTTTGAGTTCCTTATGAGCATCTTGTGGAATTTTAGCAGGTGCTTTCTTTTTTTTAAACTTGTTGGTATTCACTTTAAGTCCTTTACTAGCTCCTTGACCCATAGATTAATGAAATGACCACCTTGTTTCTTAAGTCTTAATTCCTCTTGAGTAAGCATATTGGACATTTCACTAACATCCCACTTATTCTTAATATTGTTATAGTTAATTTGAAATGGTTTATACTCAAGAGTCAATGAGTTCCAAATGAACTGAACGAAGAAGGTGTCATCCATATCCCTAAGGTTCGAAGTCATGCTGCATTGTTAGTCATCTCGATGATATGATTTTGCATACTACGCGAACCATCAAACTTCATGGTCTTGATTTCAGCCATTAGCGTACTAGCGAGAGACTTATCAACAAAACAAAACGTTCTTCCACAAACTTCAGTATTCCTTGAAACTTTCTGTTTGTGAAATAGTACTCTTAATATTGTTAGCAACAGTCATTCGGATTAACATAAGACTCAATCTGTTAGAGCGTTCCCATGATTTATGAAAAGACTTCTCATCGTCACTACTCTTATCAGTAATGGTGGTGGGTTTATCATTCAACAAAGCCAAGTCAAGATCCATTACACCTAAGTGGAACTGGACTTGTTCATTCCGTTCAGAGAAGTTCAATCCATTGAACATAGTAATAGACGAAGCATGCGAATAAAAAGGAATAACTGCAAAATAGATATACATGCTCACAAATTAGAAAATAATGTGAATTTAGTAAAACTATAAAAATATATCATAATTCTCCTATGGGTAGATACCACGACACATTATCGTAATTTAAATGTCAATTTTATCTTTAATAGGAAATTGAATATTTTTAATCAAATATATACGACATCTTTGGATTTACAATATATATTTGACTAAAAATATTGATTTACCTCATAATCTTCACCATTCTTTGAATGATAGCTTCACTTTTAGGTAAATTCTTAAGTTCTAGTCATAGTGAAAGTCAATTTATCTATTTATTTTTCAATATTGACATTTAATTATTCTTTATAGATAAATGACAATTTTTATGAATACATATTTTTCTTAAACATACTAGTTTGGCCACTTTGGTGACTAACAAGTTATATGAATATAAATACATAAATAATATCATAAAATTTTTGTGCATGTGAATAATTTCATACATTTTAGTTTGACCACTTTGGTGACTAACAAACTATAATAACATAATATATACATCAAATGATCATAAACATTATATGTAAAAACATTAATTTCTCTACTTTGGCACTTTGGTGACTAACAAACTATATAAATACAAAGCACACATATTATTTATTGTTTAGTATAATTACCACTTTAATTTGTTGCATAATTGGTTATTACCACATGAACTAAAAGAATAATAACATTATTTTAATAATGAACCGATAAATTATGCAATAAAACCAAATTGTTCATTGTATTTATTGATAGCATCAATTCACTCAACATCAAATGATGAAAGACTTCAAATTAAGTTCATCCATTAATATTATTCTTTCTACTATAGTAGAAAAGGATAGTTCAACATGCTTGCTTCATTGTTTAGGGACATTTTTGTCTTTTCAATTTTTTCTAATGGCTAGGTGTCATCTTGTTGCTTAATAAATTTTGTCCCTTTCAATTTCCTATTGCAACGTGTCTTTCGATGGTGATATGAATGTATGCATGTATTCTTCTATGTCTTCCTTCTATTCTCCCTCTACTGATATCACTATTTTCACATCAAAGTTCACAACACATACTAGGTAAGATTAAGCATGTTTTAATTGAGCTTTTTTCAGTGATCTTTCTTTTCATCAAAGTTGAAGTTCCAAATTTGATTTGGCTGTGCGAATGTTCTCTTATTTTCCCATTTGAGATTCTTATTGATGTTGGATTATCCTTTTGGTTGGGTGATTAAGTTTGATTTAGGTGTGTGAATATATAAAATTTGATTTGGGTATGTGTTGTATGGAGGTTTATAAGAGATGGATTAGAAGGAATAAAGGTTTTGTACGTCAATTGGATTCTATTGTCAATGTAAGAACAATTTTTTTAATTTTTTTAAAAGTTCTCTGCTTGTTTATTGTGTGAAAACAAGAATGTAATGGGATTTCATTTTTAATATAGAAATGGTGGATAGGTGTAGTTTATAAATTTCATTTCTGTGCTTAAATGGGTTTTTTGTTTCCCTTTCAAAGTTTGTATCTTTGATTAGTTTTGTGTTTGTTTGAGCCTCTGTTCATATATGAAAAAATCATATATTTTCAGATGCAATAGATTTTGGTTGTCTTTTGTTACATGTATATTTTGATTTTCTTTTCAACTTCCTCTGTTCATATATGGGTTTTCCCCATTTGAATTAATTTTCTGGATTTTTGTGATGTTTGATTTTTCTTGTGTTTGGAGTCTTTTTTGATTCTGAAGCTCATCTCTCATCTCACATGGCTGAATTCAAAGAATTCTACCACTTATTAATACATATGGAATCTCCGTAATGCGATTCTATTTACTGTTTCAACCCAGGATGAGGTAGTTTTACTCAAGATAAGTCAACCCAAATTGCTCCTAAGCCTATTCATGTAACCCTTTTGTTTATTTGTATTTTTCTTTCTTGGATTGTTGGCATACAAATTGAAGAGTTTCTGTGTATTTCTTATTGGTTCTGATAAGGAAAAAAAAGAATGACAAGTCACGTTGTCAAAGAGGAGTTTCTCTTCTCTATTTCTTTTTTCCTATTTTGTTGTTTTCCACTTTAATTTGTTTTGTACGATTACTTTGTTGTTATGTTGTTTCTTTTCTCACCTCTCTTTCTACCGTTTATATTTTCGCCTCATTTTCCATATTTCTTTTCTGGTAAACTTTTGTTTATCAGAATTCCTAACAACTATTGTTTGATGAATGCAAATTACAAAAAATACTAAATTCATTCTACAATTATTTCACGATGCAGGGTGAAGTTAAAATTTGCAGTTATTACAATTAAAGCTTCGGCTACAGGTATGTCCTTTCCTATCCGTTTATTATGATTTCTTTTTCTCTCATTCCTCATTTTATCTCATTCTTTAGTGTCTGTCCAGTCACACTGTTCTGCTCTATTTTGATTGATAGAAGATTTGGGTGTGTCTGAGAGAGTTTAAGGATAAAAAGTTATTGTTTTGCTACTGATGAAGAGGAAAATTACTAGAAAATTAACAGAATGTATCTAGACAAAGTAAGAAACAATAAAAAGCTGGTATAAATGGAAACATGATCTTACAGCCATAGTTATATCACTTAAATGAATTGGATGTTTAATATAATTTTTCCAATCAAACTTCTTACTTTCGCAATGTGGATTAGACATTTCTTGATTTTTGGATGGGCTGAAATTTCGCAAATCATTGATGTATTGTTCGTACTAGAAGTAGTGATAGTATTATCACAATCTAATACATACTTTTCATGTGTGTCTATTATATTTAAGTGTCTTAACATATATGTATATGTATATATGTGTGTGCGTGTAGATATAGATTATAGATTATAGTATAGTAAATAGTAAGTAACATTAGAGATGAAATTGCATTAAATAAGATTTCTGGAAAAGTATGATTAGTGCATATAAATGAAATGTTGAAAGTAACTGGTTATGACTGGTATTAAGATGACAAATATTTTCAGCAGAAAAAAACCTCTTGAGGAACTCTATTACCTAGATAAGTAAGAATTTCTCATGTCCATGGCTACAAAACCATTCTTCCAAACTTGGTAGGGGTCTATCAGTATGTACACACATACATCATCCACCACTCCAATCCCCACTTCTCATTTTCTTTTATAAAAAAAAATATTGCTACTTATCGAATTAGCTTTACACATATTTCAATTATTTCACATTATTACTTAAAATATGAATTTTATTGATTATCTAAAGAGCAAAGCAGAAAAACGAGTTTAAATATTGATATTATAGGCAATATGGCAAATTGTGTTTATGACTTGATAAAAATTTAAGAAAATATAATTTGTACATTGCCACTGTTATTTTCTCCCAACTTTTAAAACAAGACTAGTATCCTGATTAGAGAACTTCTATCAACTATGCTATAAGCAACTATACTTATCTGAGCTCATAGAAACTGCAATATGTTAACAATGTCATTATGATTTGTCGCATGACACTTATATTTCCATTTGAGTATTTAAACCTAATAAGTTTGTTGTTTTGTTTGTCTAAGCTTCCATATACTCATATGGATATGCGCTAATTTCATACATTTAAGGTGAACTATTAGATATGATATTTGATCGATACAAATTGTAGAAAATACTAAATTCATTTTACAATTACTAAATTGTATGTTCTTAAACAAGTATAATTATTAGGAATTAAGAGTTATTTGGATTGGAATACTCAGGTTGGGTGTCTAAGTTAGTAATACAATTTGTATCTTTGTGCTAAATAGATCAAGTGATCAACTTGATAACTCTACTATGAATGCGCTAGAAAGCTTGGTTCAGTTTATCCTACTTTTGAGGAATTTTCTTCTGAGTCCTTTTCAGTTACTACTACGTACAAATAAAACAAAGGGAAAAGGAAAACTTATCACCACAATATAGGAATCGATTTCGAGAAAAAGTTTAACCAATAAGCATAAGACATCTAAAAGAAAACTATATGAGGTAATTACCATTTATCGTACTATGAATGCGCCAGAAAGCTTGGTTCAATTTATCCTACTTTTGAGGAATTTTCTTCTGAGTCCTTTTCAGTTACTACTACGTACAAATAAAACAAAGGGAAAAGGAAAACTTATCACCACAATATAGGAATCGATTTCGAGAAAAAGTTTAACCAATAAGCATAAGACATCTAAAAGAAAACTATATGAGGTAATTACCATTTATCGTGCCCTTAAATTGTCCAATTTATTTGTCCAGCAACATAGCCCCATATTGATTGAAAGGTGTGTGGGATAACATTTTAGTCATTTCTTCTACTTTCATTTCTTGATTTTTTTCAAGAAACAGGAAAGTTATGATATAGTCTTCTAAAAAATAATGCCTTAGATTCTTAATTTTTAAATGTCTTCTTCTTTTCAGTCGTTAAGAAATCATGAATGAGATTGTGAAAGATGCATTTGAATTATGTGAACCTGCTTTTCAGGGTAAGAGTAATGACATGAGTAAGAGGAAAATTAAGAGAAAGAGTACGGAAACAAGCTTATATTCCCTGATCCAGTCACTTGATACTATTGATTGTAAGGATTTACATTACTTTTGATTTAACTGTATACATTGATTTAACTATTTAGTTGAGTTAATGTACTTTCTTGCAGTAAATCCTTCATACAACTAATGGTGATCATTTCATTTATAAGGCAAATCTCGTGTTAGATATTCAGCTTGGTAATTTTTTATTAGTTGAGCTTGTCATTTTCAATCACTAATTTTCTATTGAGATCAGTAACTTTGTTGCCTTAAATATTTTGTCTTCTTCTTAGCTTATTCTCAATACTAAAAAGAATTCAACTGGAGTACTTTAAGAAGGGTCGTTGAATGAGCTAAAACTTTGATGAACCTATATACTTTTGGCTGAATAATTCTTGAAGGTTTGTTATCTCCTCAAGTATTTCTATTAGTTGTATGATTTTGTGGAGTTTAAGTTGAGTTTCATTGTTGTGAGTTGCTTAATCTTTGTATCTTAGGTAGGTTAGGAAACTTGATGCCAAACCCCTACAGATAATCAATGACTATCCTGTCTACAAGCACATTCTTATTTCTTATCCTTGATTGGTAAGGTGCGTGTTAAAGTCATTCATGTATATTGAATTTGTTGCATCAGCAGAGAACTCTAGGGTAATTAACAGGGGAAAAAGTTAGATTTGGTGAATTCATAGCAAAGAAAGAAAACAAAGGGTCATACTTGATATACATTTGTAGTAAAAAAACTTGAATGGAAATAGAGGACGTTGTTACCACTTTAATCATCCTTAGTCTTTCTTCTTGGCTTCGGAGTCAATAAGATATTCCTGAGATTGTAAGTTTAAAAAACGAAACAAATGAGAATATAGTTGAGATAGCAAAGTTGAAACTCAATGTGGATATAACTGTTATATATACTTAAACAGTGACCTAGCGTTGAAATATTAACGGTAACAAGTCTTATTATCTAAATGAAAACAGTCTCTCCAGAGTATATGAAAAAGAGGATTTGCTATATTTAGCATCAGTGCTCAATGAACTATTTAGGTAGTTGAAACATTAAAGCTTGCGTTAATACCTGCAAGTTGCCAACTTATAGCATAAGCAACGATCTTGAGATATCGTTCAGACAATAGGTTTTCTCATTCATTTGTAAAAACTTATAAATTTCGCGTAGCGGTATGTGGCAAAGAGAATGCAACTTTGGGAGCACCATAACTATTCATTCACACTTTCAGCAGTACTGAGATATTGACCCATTTTTCTTACTTTTAGTCGCCTTTGTCGAGGAATGCTCTACAATATTCATTACGTATTGATAGTTTCTATCAAGTTGTTGTTAGCTTGAGCTATCCAAGTTGCTTCAGACTAAATGTTTGGATGATACAAGGTAAAATCTTGCAGCTATACCGTTGATACAAGAGGCTAACTGTTTGAATGACACAAGGTAAAAATGATGCAATTATACTATTGGTATGAGCTACAAAGTCTTACATCAAATATTGCAGATAGCCATGAAAATTTATCTTTTCACCTTGCACAAGCTTGGGAGGATATTGCTCTTTTGAGTACTCTTGGTGCACATTATAGTGAACTTTTATATGTTGGTGAAATCATTATTCCATCATAACTAAGAAAGATTTACAAAAGGGTAGTAATTCAGTTGGCATCTACTAATTATAGGATTCACTCTTATCTTAAAAACATGATGTGGGTGAATTACTCGCTTGCATTTTCTCCTTCACAAATTGGAGATGAATATTTCCTCTAGATAAGGTCTATATATACTTGTTTAATTCTACCACAATGACTTTGATAGAATGATGGCAAACTTATATTTATTCTTTCTAATTCTATGTTGTAGTGAGCTCTGTCTTTCTTTTGTTATGTTCTTTTTTCCCACTTTTGAATTGACAAGTTCTTCGACCTTCTTGATTTTATCCTTGGTATTACAGAGTTTGTTGAGTTGTAACAGCCAAACTTATTATGTATATGACTCATTGCTTATTGATTGTAAAGAGTTTGTTTGATAAGGAGCCTAAAAAGGTGTAGCTCAAATGTGAAATCTACTTGTACTGTCATATAAGACTTAAGAAGAAAAGGACTATTTTCACTTATATTTTTTGTAAAATAATGAAATTATACAAGACATTTGTTAGTATTTTGAAGGTCTATTTACCTCATAAAGATAGTTTACAAATTTGACAACAAGTAAAATCACTCCATAAAGTTGTTAGGCCCGTGTCTACACGGGCAAAACTTACCTAGTTTTAATAATAAAGTCAATAAGTGACGCTGAAAAGGTTAAAAAATAATTCTCCAAAATTATGTTGCATCCGTATGACCATCTTTTAATTATTTTACTTTATTAATTTAAACAATTAACTATTAAGTTTTCTATGAAAATGTCCAATTAAATTATTCAAAAGAAAACGATGATTGTTCATATCTATCTCAAATATCGCACAATTTTATTTTATGTTTTAATTCCAAATTATGAACCATGGTATAATTTTTGGAAAAGGGTCTAAAATATCCTCAAAGTATTGAAAATGGTACAAAATTACCCTCCATCCTTCTATTGGCTTCAAAATACCCTTTCCACCCACCTATTGGGTCCAAAATACCCTTGTCATCCACCTTTTGGTTCAAAACTGACCACTTATTTAACGGTTTTATATTTAAACTATTTAAATATTTTTTAAAATACGTGGTGCTAACTATTTGTTATAATTTAACTTATTAGAGTAATTTATATATCAATCCATTACCCACCCATTACTAATTAAATTCCTCTTAATAAACCCGTCACATTATTAATGCAAGCTACTACCAATTGAGTATTTTTAAAAATTATAGAAGTAAATTATCATACATTCAAGTGGCTAAATAAAAATTATCGATAAACTTAAAAGTCTGACTATATTGATCTTAATTATTCTTACTTCTCAATTATGTGATGTTACTTCATAGGTAACTTTTTTTCAAAATAATATATTAAAGGTTTTAAAATAAATCATAAATATTTATAAAATTATATTTAAAAAAAGTGCATGAATTAATTCGGGATGTATTACTTGTTTACCTTTAATCATAAATTTCTAATTCAATTTTGAAAGAAAGTGTCCTCCTAAATAAGCGGCTCAACCTAAATTTAATTGGGGTTTCTATTTGGACTCGAATAATTTTGGATGTCATTTTCAGGAATCTAAAATTTCATCGTGTTTTAGTAGTGTTTATGACGATTTTTATATTATAATTGGATCATTAATTGAGTGGGGTTTAGTTAGTAATGAGTGGGTAGTGGGTTGGTTTATAAATTATATTGATAAATTTAAATTATAATCAATAGTTAAACGCCAAGTATTTTAAAAACTATTTAAAGAGTTAAATTTTAAAACAATTAAAAAAGTGGTCAATTTTGAACCCAAAGGTGGATGACAAGGGTATTTTGGAGCCAATAGGTGGATGAAAAGGGCATTTTGGAGACAATAGGTGGATGGAGGGTAATTTTGTACCATTTTCAATACTTCAAGGGTATCTTAGGCCCATTTCCGTATAATTTCACATAATAAATATCATGTAAATTTCTATTATATAGAAGAGTGAAGCCTAGGACGACCAATGATAAAACTGTAATTTTATACTAATAAAAATCTATTAAGAAAGAATCAAGAGAAACAAATAATTCTAGAAATATCACTTTGTATATGAAGTGAATGATGATCAAGGGTAAAAATGTATTTTCATACTAACAAAAATTCACCAAGAATAATAACAAGAAACTAAATAATTCTAGAAACATCTTTGATTAATGTTATTTCTATCAACTCATTTGTTATCACTTCACATTTTTTACGAGTAATTGTGATATCTAATCATTACTCTATTTAATTATTACTTTAATTAATTTTATTTTTGTATTCATAATGCTTACTAAAAAGAGCAACTTTCATATATAGCAAATAAAAAATTCATATTTGTATGCCATAACAAAGTTTGCATAATTACGCTCCATAGCAAACATAGAAACTGTATAATTCGCTATACATATACAGTTGAAGCAAATTATATAAAATGAAGTATATAAAACAAGAAAGAGAAAGACACTTGGACGGAGAACTGTATAAAAATGAAGTGTATAAAATGAATTATATTATTATAAGTGTATAGAATGATTATATACAATTTGAATTTGTATAGAATAAGAAAGAGAGAAAGACAAAAGAGACTTGACAAGGAATATACAATTGAATCGAATTGTATAAAATGAGAAAGAGAGAAATTAGATACAATTTGAAAATTGTATAAAACGAGAAAGAGAGAAAGACAAAAGAAACTGGATAGGGGAGTATTTTAATTGTATAATTATAAGTGTATAGGACGAAAATATATATACTTGCATGTGTATATACAATTCTCTCACGTTTTATACAAACAGAAACACAATTTATACATTTCGCTTCTATTTATATAAGTGAGAAAGGCAAAGGTGGCGAGCGAGATCTGGAAGAGGGGAGAGAAGAAAACAAAAATATATGTATTTATACAATTTTCTCTGCCTTATATAATTAGAAACAATTTTTATACACTTGAGGAAGTGAGCGAGAGATTAGAGGAGAGTGGTGAGCAAGATATTTGGGAGAGAGACGCCTGACAATTTTTTTGCAAACGTTTGCTATGGAGCACAATTAAATCAAACCCTAGCTGCTCCATTTATTTTTAGGTTATTAGTTTGGTGTTATATACAATTTTCCCTACTAAAAATGCCTACTTTAACATAAAAATTCATTACTTAGAAATATAGTTAATTATTTTCACATTTGTTTTGACTATAATTAATATACCTGGAAAAAAAGAAGTATGATAAAATTAATATATATTAGATTGAAATTGAACAATAAATAAAATTAATTTTAATATTTTTAAAAATATAATTTAAAAGATGTTAAAAAGTAACTTTACAAATAAAATGAATAGTATGATATATTTATACTTAAAGTAAAATTTTTTTTTTACTAAATTATAAAAGTGGTTCTTCACTAAAATATATAATCAAGTTTGTGTTTTTACTTGATTTCAAACATATTAATCTAAATATGTGAACTGATGTAAGTTTGATTTAAAAAGTTTAGAACGATCTAGGCTAATATGATCATTTGATATATATTTTATTTTAAAAACTATAAGTTGTATTTTTAAACTTTATTAAATTTTTTTTTTCAAGTGTTAAATTTTCTCCGCAAGTTACATGACTTTTGTAAAAACTATAAATTATAAGATTTTTGTAGAATTAAGTCTATGACACAAATAAATAGATATTAACTCATTCTTCATTTCATTCACTCCTCAATTCTCTCCCCTCTTATTTCTTAAACCAATAATTTCTCGCCCTTTATTTTTTATTTGCGTCTTAAATAATATACACTCTAGTATAGATTCTTATTAGGAAAACCAATAATGCAGTTTTTTTTTTCAAGAACTACATTTCAATCAATTCTCTATATAATGACCCTATGTACTTTTGTAAAATAATTACAAGGCAAAATTAAAATTTACTATTTCTTAGTGGACACATCACTTCAGAGACTTGTCCATATTGTCATTTTCAGAAAAATTCAACTGCTCCACACTTTTCAAACACACTAATGAATGAGTTAACATGTTGAATTCAAATCATTCACAATTACTTTTCTTAAAATGCTTAATTCAAAAGGAATGCAATCAGTGAGCAAATTTTTCAAGAAAATTTTGTTCAACAATTTCAGAAGCGTGTTATGTTCTTTCTTTTGGTTCTCTTCAGATTTTTCAATTTCATGGCGTTGTGTTCGTCTTTTTTATTGTGGAGATAATTTTTAAAGTATGTAATTTACTTGATTTTTCTTTTTATGTATAATCTCAAAATTTCACGTAACATAGATGTCATTATATAATTTATTGAAAAACATATATTTATTTATCATAGTTAAAATCATTTTAAATAAGTTATATAAATTATTATACTAACTACAACATCTTAAGTTATGCAATATATCTTTTTGATATTTTTTAAATCCTCTATTTGAGATAACATATTTATTCATTATGTTTATTAATTACTTTAGATTTATTTTCTTTATTATATAAAATTGTTCTCCTAATTTTAATAAATATTAAGACCAAAGTCAATTTTTTCCATCCTTTTATTACTTTGTAAAAAAAATGAGATGCTTCATTATAATTTTCATTAAGTAGGTCATTATTTTGTTTGTTAAAAAACTATTATGTTATATTGTTATTTCCTATCATGTTTATTTGAAAGTATCGTAGTACTTTTTTTAAATAAAAAATTAACCAAATTTTTATTATAAGATTGTAATATTGAGTCCGTAAACGGGCCTTCATTATCCAATATTATCTATTTCTATTATATAGAAGAGTCATGATTAGGACGACCAATGACAATATTGTAATTTTAAACATTATTTATGGGCAAAGTTATAACTTTATAATTGCATAATTAGTGGTCCAAATAATTTTCTAGAAGAATCTTATAATCTTTTTCAAGAGTCACAAAATTTTTTATTTCATGTGTGACTCCACATAATTATTTAATTTAATTTTTAAAAATTATTTTGTATTTGTTTGATTATAATAATGTAAAAAGTATTTATACAATTTAAATAGTTCATATGTGTTTATTGCTACAATAACATATTCAATATAACCTACCATCTTCCATGATGTAATTTCCTTTTAAATTATATACAATATTTTAAACATAAGTATTCATTTAGTTTTAACAGACAAGGGTAAAAAATATCCTTAAGCTATCCGAAATAGTTTATATTTATCCTTAAATTATATTTCGATTCAAAACTCTTCTCCCCGTCAAACTATTGGTCAAA